ACCATGATCTTTTCCTAAAGTATTTTTGGTGATGAAATCTAACCAAGCTGCAGCCATCACCTGACATATTTCTCAGCACTTTGTTTTGAAAGTCTGACATTGAATATTTATTATAGCCAACTTAACTGCGCTAGAGTATACTGTGACAGAGTCATGTTGTGCCTTGCCTAGGTGTGAAAACCACACTTTGGAGTGTTTGGTATTTTCAGAGCAATGGGCCTTCGTACCAAAGGGTGCTTGTTTTCAGTTCCAAAGGGACATGTTTCAGACTATTGGAGTTTCAGAGTAATTGGAGCAATAGGTAGAGCTCACACTTGATGCATTGCTTTCCAGGTAGCTCATACTGAGTCCAGCTTGGTCTTCCAACTTGTCAAACAATGCCACTAGCTCAGTGGCCCTCCACTTCTAAATATGACACTGTAGGTGTCCCTTAGCAAACAAACACAGGACTTGCACACAATATTATATGATACAGTAGTAGTACCCTCATTGATAGCCTTGTGATTTCAAAGTAAATTCAAATTGTGCATACATTTGCTATTTTTATTGTGTGACATATTTGCCGTGGTTTGTTAACAGGTGAAACCAGATACCAGCAAAAAGTGATTAGTTCCTTTTTAATCAGCTTATTTTTACTGCAGTCCTTTTGCCACTGGTTTGTTGACTTTCTTATAGTTTTCTCTGCTAAGTGGATAAGTGTCAAACATATTGTGAATTTGACATAAGCTTTCTCAGTGCTGTTGGAGTTTTTAAGCTGTAGTATGCTATATGTTTGCTTGACATAAATCAGCTCACGGTCAATAAATTAAGGGAGCAGACTCAGGTTTCAGTTTCCCACACATCTAATCTGAGGTCACATTCACTGAGTCTGGACATCCTCTGTCAGTGAAAGATGTGCACTTTTTGTCTCAGACAAACTTATAATACTGAGAAACTATAATTATCATGTTTGTTCCAGAAGATTCCAGCTTTGGCCAAATACCACAGCTGTTCAGTAATTATCCCTTTTGTCAGACAGTGTAATACGTCTGTGTGCCCTATTGTGTAATTTTAGTTCTTAACTGCAACTGTGTGGCTCCAGTGGAAAGCTACTATTGCAAATCCTGTGCATGTTATTGAAGAGCACATACAATGCCCATTTTTATTAAAATAAATGACAGATATATGATGATATGTAGGTTTTGGTATTGTATGGTGCACCCACATATTTAGACTAATATAAAAAAAAATTTAAGATTACCAATATAAAGAATAAAATTTTGTGTTACTGTTCACCATTGGTTTGTTCACTAACTCCCGATAATTGTAATAATCCTGTAACTTCTGCAGGGGCATGTGTTTACCTGGTAATTTCAGTCTAAAATCTTTTTAATCAAACATCTAGGACAGGCAACACCAGACACAACAGTCTGAAAGGCAAAGGCCAAGTCTCTGAGGTGATGGGTTACTTTGTCATGCAATTTGTGCTCTATGAATATAAACATCATCCATTTATCTCCGGCACAAACAGACAGGACAGGCACTTCAATATATTGGATTTCTACATTTTGGAAGTTTCTTTGTCTTTAGTAAGATGTGTGCCAATGACACTAAAGGGGATTTTTTTTTTTCACTTAAACTGCTGTTGAACAAGGTCAGTGCATTCTGTTTGTGTCTGCCTCTGTCTGAATGCCAAAGTTTTATTCCGTTCTCTGTTGCTTATGATTCAGTATTTAACAGTCAGACATTTATTGGAAGGATTAGTTTTGTACAAAATCAAAAGCAAAGGCTTCCTTATATTGCAACAATTTGAAATTATTGCTAATTTCAAAACACTGTATTATTATGACAAACCACATACTGCATGTTTACATAATCCAAGATCCAACCACTGCCATTCACAAAATGCTGGGAGAGAAGCTAGAAATGTTACAGTAAAAAAAAAAAAAACTCTGCCCTGCTGAGTCAAAGTGTAATTTGGAAACTGAACTGATGCTTTTCAAGTGTGAGTCATATGACATAGTTATGCAACACAATTCTTAGAATATTATATTTAAAACAAAACAAAACATTTTCAGTTTATAACTCTCACAGATGAGATTTACCATCTCTACATGTATTATACACTTACTTGTAAGGCCAGAAGCCAGCAGGTCAGTATTGCCTCTTCCGTAGACTTGCATGTTACTCAGACTGAGCAGTTTTCTTACATGCAGTAGGCTTTGAATTTGTTTTGATCTCTGATTCCTTCAACATACGGTAGACATGCCTTAGAATGAATCATGCCAGGAACTGGCATGCTCTTTTTGGCGCCAACAGGATTGTTGTTATTGGCTCCTAATCAGTTTGGAGCCTGATTCTTGTTGCTGGGTTTGCTTCTGACTCACTTCATCTGCTCCTGATTCAAGGCTACTTGAGTTTTCTGTGGAGCTTGTCCAACATGCATTTGTGCTACGGTTCTTGGAAGCCTGGGTATGGCCTGTGTGTATGCTGTGATAAGAGAAGTGCCGGCAATTTATAAAAAAAAAGGAGACAAATTTGGATTAAACAAGTTACATCCATTAATGAGGTGTGAATTATACTCCCAAACAAAATTACCAAAGCAGGACTTGATGACATTTTCATGTAGGAACAGTAACATTTAAAGGGTAATGCTGGTGATATTCTATTTTTTTATTATCAACAAATCCTCTGAAAAAAGAGCAAAAATAATGCATTTTTCCTACTAAGGAGCAATGCATGTGTAGCCCACCCCTGATATAGCTTATTTATCAGTGCCATTAATCTTCATTCTCCTCTAAAGACTAAAAACACATAAATGATCCAAACCATAGCACTGGGTGACATGTTCCTTTATTACGATGAACCTGAATACTGTACTGTGACTCAGTTCCAGGTTGTTGTTTTTGGTCACACAGGCCGTTGTTGTATCATATAGACATAATCTTTTCAGAAATTCTACTGCTGTGACAAATACATGTTATATGTTGAACAACAACAAAAACAAGCATATATATTATATAAAAAACATAACTATAATTTAATGGCTGCCCTATAACTGGCATTTTGATGTGTGTGTATGTCTTGTGACCTCTACTAATTGAATGTTAAAAGAAATATGAGAATCTGTTTCTTGTATTAAGGGATTAGTGTCAAGTTTTTATCAAGCTCTTAAAGAGTTCAGTTACAAACCTAATTAATAGTGTACAGAGTTAATCGGAGGAGCATGAAAACCAATTCCATGCCATCACAAATTTCCATTATTTATTTTTCCATTGTCATTTAATACTTTTGAAGCTGTTTCATGCTATTTTCTTTACTGTACAACACGGTTTTAAATATAAACAGACTAGTAAAGGACATTATTAGATTGTTTTTCATTTTAAGTTGAGTTTAGTACTTATTCCCTTTGCTATAACAATTAATGACACATTTAAATGTCAGACATTAAATGCCAAATTAAATCAGAATCAAGGTAGTCTAATGAATGAACATAATTGTACCCAATCACAGGAGAAGCAATTCAATTTGTATTATAACAAAACATGCTGCAAATTGTGCTGACTGTTGAGCAAACACCCAGAATTGATGTACTGCCAAGTGTGTGCATTTGCATGTGCAGTATCAGTAGAAAGTAGCCACCCACATTGCAAGGCTTCAGCTCTACCCACCTATAAGCTAGCATTCACATCAATATGTCTAGTTTTTCATACAGTGCATTGCCAATAGGAAAGTAGTTACTGGCTGTATATATTATCTTCTGAAGTGTTTGCAGACTATGTCTGTTATGAGATATGTATCACCCATTGTCCTGGAACAGCAAGTGTCTAATTAGCACTTTTATCAAATTAAACTCAAAGGTTAACAAAGTTGTTGGTAAAACAAGTTGAATAAATGAGTCTGTAAGCATTTGAAACTGAACACTCTGTACTGTAGTTTCAGTGGTAGTATCAGTGGCCAGTCTTTAACATATACATGTTTAAACTGACCCTAATGAACTGGTGTCATTCTCATATGTAATCAGGAGTTGGAAAAGAAGAGTCACTGGAAGACGTATGCCCTTGAGAGCCACAGACGCTGTTCTTTTCCATTTAAATGATGTCTGTACAATAAACTATTGAAAGTGACACGGTGAACAGCACTCTCTGATTTATCATGCTTTCATCTTGAGATGAGTTTGGTCAAGGTGCCCCTGTCTCAGACGGTGCCCTTTACTGATATATGAGTACATTTTTGAGATGTAACCAGGAGTCATGTTTAATTAGGAAGCATATTCTTAGAAGTTTGCCTTGTGCAGTTGTGTCAGCTGAAATGAAGGTGATTTAAATTAATGTTTATTTCATTCTCAAAATAATGTCCAAAGGATGCAGAAAAATTTGTCTTTATGTAAGAGGCAACGACACGGCCTACAATCCAGAGCAGCTTACACTACACTACAGCCACGATAGGACAAATAAAGTCTCCAACACAAAGGAATCATTTTAAATGTTCTGTACAGTAGATAGTAGATACGTATATAGAATGTAGAATGTAGTATCACTGTGCTTCACAGTTTCTTAGCATTTCGACTTTGCTCCCACAGTGAACCTGCAGTCATGGTGTGGGTGGGTGTACTGTATAAACACTGCAACCTCAACCCATAAGTGAAGACTTCTGATTGTCCTTACAGTTATTAAATCAGCAGAAAGAACTGCACTGCTCTGTTGAATTCAGATGCTCTACAAATCAACACTGTCTTGCGTACAAACAGGACACCTAAAAGCATGCACTGAGCAAGTGTGTGCTATGTGAGCTACTGTATGGGTCTAATTCTCAAATATGCCTCACCTTAAATTTTAGATCATTTGGGGAGTCTCTCATTTGTATGGGCTGTATATCGCTCAGCACTGAGACACAGCTGTACTCTGTGCTTTTTGTGTATCCCTAACCAAGCTCATAAAAGTTGTGTTATTACATACACTGCATCTCTAGTTCAGTAGCCTAGTAAATCTGCCTAATCTTATTTCCTGTTTTCAATGCAGGGGTGGAAGGCATGGAGTGCTCCCTCCCCATGGATGGCAGACGTGTATCTCTGACACAGCTCTCTAAGGACAGCTTCCGTGAGTGCCAGGCCACCCTGACTCTTACAGACCTGCTCATAATCATTTTCTCTGGCATCTCAGTGTCTGTGGTGGCCATCATGACAAGCTTCTTCCTGGCTTCAACTGTTCATTGCTTCCAGCGCTGGAGTAAAGGCACCAAGGGGGATGAGGAGGAGAGTGAGGAGTAAGAACGATTTACTTTTAAGGACCTGCATGGTCCAAGTACTTCAAACAATGAGGACACTGCAGACAGTGTGTGCTACATGTGACAAGTTTCATGCTGCTTCCTCCCTGGTGAATATCCAGGACTGTTAAACGGTAGGATCCTGCCCTGGTACCGTTGCAGTTTTCTTTGCACATGGACATCCAAAATATGGTAAAGAAGGACATTCCCAAGGAATGAGCCAAAGTCCCAATAATAATTAGCGAGTGACCTGCTCCACTCACAAAATGTAGAGATATAGAGATCATATTTTTGTCTGTGAGAGCCTATAGTCCTCTTTTATGACTAGAGGCTCTTGGCTTGATGATGTAGGCCTACACAAATAATGCAAGGTTAACACCTTTATAATGAGAGAGAAAAATATTTTTTAAAAAGAAGTGTTGCTGCAGTGCTGTCACGATAGTCTTAGACAAGCCAATAACTTCTCAACGTGTAATCACATTGGACATGCAATTCTGGAGTTTGAAATCCTGTAAAGTGACATCAAAGTTAGTGCAAACTTTTAGATGATTTCCACTGGGGCTTTATCTATGTAGTGCAGAATGCTCGATCCCATAAAAAAAGGATGTCATACCGACCAATGACCTCAGTATTTAACTGCCTATAAGATGATATGCTGGTATATCCTGCCATTTACAATGTCTTTTTTGGACAGCCTCACTCACTAACATTCAAAAATGGTTCACAAGCACTGGAGAAGGCAAATACTGTTGTTCCCTCTGCATGTAAAATTAGATAGTAGCAGAAGTGTTACTTGAACAAGAAGGATTTGGACAATGGTGAGATTTTAGTTAGTTGATGTACTGTAGGAAGGAAGAGTTTCCAGTGGGTCTACACATTGTTTCAGCAGTATATTCATTATATAATCACAAATTTATGTACAAAAGAAAACAATGTACAGTCAAACATATAAATCAAGAGAATGTACTGTACGTACCTTAGATTGATAACTGTGAACTGTGTAGAAAGATATAGACAGATATCTAAAATAACAATATAATCTTGAAAATTATGGCAAATACGGTATTAAAATAGAGTCTATGTAGAATTATTGTGTCAAATAATGCACTTTATCTGGTGAACCTAATTTTGGCAAGCCCCTAATTACACTATGTAGACTGGTTTTGTCTTCATCTGCCAAAGATTAGGTTTAGGTGAAGGAGACATATAAGGACTTTGTTGTGGATGGTGTGTTATTTTGTGAGTTAGGCTTAACAGAAGGCAACACTATAGCCAAATCACACTCTGTATACACATATTGTACTCAGTCAAACAGTTATGGTCTCCAAAGATAAACATTTTATTCTAGTCTGTCTATGACTAAACCAGCTGTCGTACATCGCTTCACACACGGCAGTCTTTAACCTCTATTTTACTTCAGAACAAATAGTTATTTATTGTATGAGGGTGGGGGGCAAGAGGGTTGTCTCTTGAGGAATAAATAGACAACTTTTGTTTTGTTTATGATATCCAGAATGGATACACCATGGACTCTCAGTCAGCTTGTACTCCTTTTACTAATGATCTTCCAATACCTTAATAAAACTGCTGATTCTGGAAAAGTGTCGTATCAAAACTCTTACTGTATCAACAGCATCTGCATTCAGAAGAGCGACAGTACAGTATAATATAAATTAAATAAAGCAGCGCCCCAAATGTTACGGGTTTGTTATTTGCATCCTGTATATTTAAATCCTCCTCCATTAGGACTTGGAATGCTCAAAGCTGGACTCTTTGTATTTTATTCCCCCCCAAAGCTAAGGTATGTTGCATTGCTTCTCACATTCTTGTAAGGCATGAATAATTCAGTGAAATTGAAACATGAAGCAGAAAGAATGTCAAGCTTTTTAATGTAAACAAGCAGAGGATAGAAAAAGAGCCATGAGCAAATAGAGTCATCATTTCAGGGTGGTTAACAAAAGATAAAAAGGAATTCCAAACGCCTATGTCCCTTTAGAACAAGTCATAACCCTGAATGTGCAGTGAAGCACGCTTTGTAGACATGACAAGTAAATGTGGCCTTATTTATTTTTGTTATTTTCCATTAGTATCAGCATCAATAAAAGCACAAATATATCACAAAAAACTAAAGTGATTCTAGTACACTTTTTAAAGGTTGTGTCGCATCATATGTTGTTGTATATTGTCACAGTATGTTTTCATTGATGTGTATCGTCATGTGTTGAAAATGCCACATCCTTAACATGAGATTTGTAGGCTACTGTATGTATGTCGTCTATTTACCAGAATTGAAATCATGTGGGACACTTTGAAGACGAATGTCCATTGGAAATACTCATCTACAACAGCCAATTGATCTTTCGCTAAACCTCATCCCAGCAACAGCAACTGACCAATAGCGGCTTAGTAAACTAGGCACGTTGGCAGGCCTGTCAAGCTTTGGATTTCTCCAGCCCACACTAATGAAGCAGTGTACAACGGTCTCTGAAGAGCGATACTCTATGTCTCAAGAGTTTAGAGAGTGGTGTTTTTTTTTTTTTTGTAGTCTTTCAAAAAATCTAGAACAAGCAAATGTGTGTGTGCAAAAGTTGATTAAACTTTGTCTTTATCTGCTCTACCGTAGGCTGCAAACATTAGCATGTCCAGCTAACTAGCTTACTAACTACAATACCTCTAGCCAAACTGTTAGACACCACTATATTTGCCAAACTCACAAATTTTCCTCATATCCTCAAATCATCTTCTTTTGTGAAAGTGAAGCACTTTGTTTCAAAATATGAACAATAAAGCTTAGCCTAAACCTAACACCTGTATTGCTTTTCTAAGTAGGCTACATTTTTTTTATATTAAGCATCCAAACCCTTCAAGGGTTATGTAGCTATACTATGGGGCTAACTATACACTCTCATACACAAACAATGCCGTTACTTAGTTTACAGGTCCTGTACCTTACGCCTGGGACATGTAGCTTTAGCCTCAGTCTTTTAGCATTATTCATGTACACAGCTATTAAGTAGCCTACATGTTTAAGCCCCATACAGGACTCTCATTTTAAAACGTGTCAGATTTAAACAATAAAGTCAGCTGGAGACAGACTTCTCAGTTGACTCAAGAAGTTCAAGCATTAGCATTAGCTTGAGTTAGCAACACCTCTCAAATCTGCTGGCGAGAGTCATCCTTTCAGCCAACCAAATCCATGGTTGTCAGCCAGAAATGAGAAGCCTGCTCTTGTTCACACCTGTGTGGAATTGTAGATTAAAGACTGTTTCAAAAATTACTGCAAATTTCTATGTTAAATCTGCAACCACTATCACTGTAAGAGAATGGTAAAGCTTGACAGGCGTAGCAAGGGTAACTAAGGAGGGCTTGGCTTAGCGAATGGTCAATTCCAACATTGGATTTGCTAGCCTACTGTCTTAAAGGGTAATGCCACTGAATTTCATATTTGAAGTCATTCTTCTTTCTTATGACTGTTCGGTCAATATTGAAGAACACCTAATATTCCTTATAGCCAGAGTGAAGGTGCCCACAGTTACTGTAGGTTAAAATGAGGATATGGACATTTAGGAACTCCAAACAAAAAAGAAAAAAAACATTTTGAGTTTCCAATTGTTGGCTTGAGAGGAGCAGGTTCTCATGTTCATAAAATAAAAATAAACATTTAAATGCTTAATACAAGAATAGTGAGTCACACAAGAAAGTGAATATTAGGTGGAGAGATGAGAAACTGCTTTTTTATTGGCTAATTGATATCTGAAGGGACGGCCCTTAGTCAAGGAATCAGAGGGAGAATTTTTATACATATCATTATCATTTCCAACTACTGTGTAGTTACTGTATATTAACAAATTATTATGTTAGCTTAGCTGTTAGCTTGAAGCATATGTTAGCATGACCATTTCCTTTCTCTTACTCATTTTATTAAGTAACAAATATCAGCACATTAGAGCATGCACTGTTGAGTTACCTACAGTATAAAGTTCAGATTCATGTCTATTTTTCTATTCAACCTTTTAGAATGAAGCATTTATTTACGCTGTCAGTCCCCAAAGTAATTTTCTGGCATTGTGCAACCTGGAAAGCGGAGACACTGGTGGCTGCTTTCGTACAGTATGTCTTGACATTGCTTAAAATACCAAAATCCATGTTATGTTTTGTCAGATAAATGTCAGAATGGCTCAAATCTAAATTAAATGACAGAGAACAGTGTGACGCTGTTGCTGCAGCTGAATGCATTTCCAAATGTCAGACAGACACTGTCAAACAGACCGTATCATGTGTAGCTGTATATTGATGTTTGGTTAAAAAATGGAAATAAAATCCCTTTTTTCCATCCTCTGGTCTGTATTTGTTAAGCAGATGTATATCAGTGTGTAAATACAGATATAAAAGCTGGATGATCATTTAGTATTAATGCAATATGTCAACATAGACAACACAGATCATGCATATACCTGTAATATAGACCAACCTGCACAGGGCAAGTAAAAGTATTTAATATTAAAGATCAGTAATACTTTTATTTAAACAAGCGCTGCCTTACATGCAGAGAATGTGGAAATGTGACTCTCAGCTAAGCAATATCTACTGCAAAGTGTTAATAATGACAATAGAATGTGCTCTAATCTTCCCCTCATTTCCAGGGGTTGACAGATTTCGTCTTGTCACAGCAGCAAATGAGAGCGGCTCATCTGTAAACACAGCTCAGTGTGTTATTTCACACAGCACTGTTATCACACTGCAGGTATGCAAATGGATGCACTATTTTTGGAAAGGGTGTTAGAGAAATTAGAGACTTAAAAAAAATGAAAATCAAATATCATCCGCTTACATAACAAGTATCCAGCCTGTTCATGGACAATCTCTTTCATTGAGAGCTTTGTGTATTTTGACAATCTGTAATAAATCAGGCAAAAATGAATTGACATTCAATCCTATCTCAGCACATGAATGTTTTTTTCCTGGCTGCCTCCAGTGTTTTGTTTTTTTGCTTTGTCAAATTCTTTAGCTCATGTAAGGTGGAGGAGATACTTCTAGGTTTGTGTTTCTTTTTTCATCCCTTATGCTAATGATTCATTTTTCCATATTTTTCTCACTATGTTCCTTTGTCATGTTCTGTCGTGAGGCAATCTAACAAGATACCATGCTTCTCTAAAGAAGTCGGATGTCAAAGAATCGCAGGATGAAACCAACCTTAACCTTTAGGATATGCTACGTTGGCTAGAAAGAAAGCAGAGTCACGGCACACACCACAGAACGATGAGCAAAGAATCCTTTTTGGAGATATTTATGATTCCTAACAGGAACACTTGACAGGGAATCGCTTGCAAGAAAGACTTGCACATACTACATTAGTGCACCACTGCAAAGAGGCCTGTGAGGGTGGTGGTCGTGATGAGGATTCTCCTGCAACCATTTACCTCATTTGGTTGTCATGGCTACACAGCCGGAGGCCTGAGCTCTTGGACGCCGAGGCGGGAATAGGGAAAGGGAGGGATGCTGGGAAGCATGGCCCTCAGTGTGGCTGCCTCGCCTCTCATTCCATGCATCATCTAACTGGACCTGGCATTTAAAAAGAAAAAAATGTCCACAGCACTGGAGCTCCCTGTGAACCAATCTGTGACTTTCACATCCATCCTCTCCTTTTGATTTGTCTGTAAAAGGCATTGTGATCGGTCAGATTAGGATATCCATCATAACATCCACAGCATAATTGGAGCATACTGTGGTCTAATGCCTTTAAAATATTTGTATCCAGTGACTGTCCCCATAGTCGCAGAGATAGATGTCAGACATCACGATCGATATTGAAATTCATGTCAGTTGAGCAGTGTGAAACATGACTACCGTAAAACTTCTAATAAATAGACACAGATCTGCATTTACAAGCCTGGTGTGGCTAAACGTTTCGGCGACTAAACACAGCTCTCCAATAAAGGCCTGGTCTGGATTTTATAGAAACTATCTTGATATATAAAACCTCTTAAAACCCACCAGGTCGCCCACTTGAGCGAGTTTTAAGCCATTTAGATCAACAACACAAACTTTTGTCAACATGGACGTGCTGCACATCATTACATCAGTTGGATTCTCCACAATTCAATTGTTCAGTTCATTTTACAGAAACTATGAACACCAAAGTATAACAAGGCTCTTTTCTCCACAGTAAATAAACTTCTCAAACCCAGTGACAATACCGCCAACTCATTCACAACTTTGTTCCTTTAGTCCGTAAAAGCTCCACCGATCAAAAGGCTCAAAGGGTTTCATTAAAATTCATCTGAGTTGTGAATATTTTCATGTGAAGTCCGTCGCTCACTGTCTGCATGCTGGCTGCCGTAAATCTTCGACTGCCGTAAAATGCTGTTCACGTTCAAGTGAACAGAGAAAAGAGTACAACCTGAAATTTACCGTAAGCTGTTTGTTGTCAAATTTGTTGAACAGTACTCAAGAGAAGCAGCACAGTTGGAGAGTATTTCCATCTGTGCTGAGCAAGAGTTTTGCACTAAACAAATTAAATGCCTGTCCCAAATAAACGCCTGTCCCCAATAAAGGAAGGGTGAGTTCAGTTGTTTAAGTAAATAAACGCTTGGGTTATTATTAGAAGTTTTACAGTAGATGCTCATATTGCAGCCCACGGCTAGCACACACGCAACAAACTCCATACAACAAGTACAGCTAAGTATCACTACTAATATTTAGTACTTAAACTATTAAAAAAAAAAAAAAATCCTTGTGACTGAGTCAATTCTGAGAAGTCAGATTAGGATATGCATCATAGGGTCCCCATCATCGAAATTTAAAGGATTATCAGGGTAGCTGTCATTCTGTGCCTTGGCTTTTTGTGTAATTGGTTTATTATTATGTAGCTGCATTTTAGCCAAAATGTTTCATTATGCTAAAGTGAAAGTAAATATTTTTGACCAACTATAATAAACTGAGAAAACTGGTCATTATTTACTTTTATACGTCAGACACTGAACAATGATCATCAGATAACAAATGATTTGATGAATAAAATCTGTGAATTGTGCTTTGGAAACAAAGCCTTTATTTATTTATTTACCAACTGTCTCTTGTTACAGTCTGTTCCTACAAAGACAGGAAGCAAGCAGGACAGAGAGGAAAGTAAGCCAACCCTCAGAGAGGAAGCTTTGAATGAGTAATGACCTGCTGGTTTACAGTGGGATTAGGGTTTGGAGAGGAGTGGGCAGCAGAGGGGTCAGGTTGCAAAGTTCAAAAGGAGCGACACCTGATGCTTCTCTCTGTCTGTGTCTGACAAGCAGAATGGGCATTGAGTTCAGAGAAGTGGGGCTTTTGTGGAGACGTTGGTGACAAATGGGGATGGTTGGGGTGTCTTCACTCACAGTAACTTTTCCGCTCTCTTTTTCAAATTCAATCACCTATTCTCACAACATTCTCTTTCCTGGCAATTTTTGTCTTCTTTATTGTGAGGTTATTTTTTATTCTGTTTTTTTATCATAAAATATTGATCTACTGTGGTTCATTCTTGGCTTTCAGTGAAATAACAATTGCTTTTTGGTTGATATTAAAGAAACACTCTAGAGATTAGGTATTGCACTAATTTGGGGATTTACAAGAGGCAGCTTAAAAAAGAATGGTCACAATTTAAGTAGCAGAAGCAGAGATATCCTGACTTTAATCCCCTGATGACGTCATTGGTTTTCAAACTTTAGAAATCACCTTTAATAAAAGACATTATACAACTGTTTCCACAGACAGAGTAGTACTCCTCTTGATGAGTAATCTGAACTTCATTTGTAAAACCAATGGAGTGCCTCTTTAATATCCAGCTCCATTAAATCCACTACTGGTACAGTATAATATGATGATGTACAGTATTAGTATGAAAAAAGACTGTTTCTGCAGCAATCCACATCACTACTCTATTCAACCAATTAGGTATGATTTTGTGTCAACTGACTACAATACCATTATTCTCACTAGCCCAAATGAATAAAATAATAATAGAAAAATCCCTAACTTAGAAAGAACACCCTCAGAATGCACAACTGTTGTGCACAGGAATGAAGATGGGCGTTTGTCACTGCCTGATTACAATTTCTGGCAGCAGGGCTGAAATATCATTCAAACTAGAGAGGGTGAGAGGTGAATCGGGGACACCGCAGCCGTGGGCAGTCATGAGCATCAATGCATTCTTCTGGCAAACTGCTCACCCACTGCACCAAAACACAGGCTGGCAGGCTGGCGGAGTCAGTTACTCTCAAATTGTGTTTCATATATACAGGAAAAAAACCAAATATTTCTGAAGATGGACGTTGAAATAAGCATTATGATGAAGGCACCAAAATCTCCCTTGTTCATCAACAGCGCAGTTTTTTCATGCACCACCGTTCAGGTCACGCTTGAGTTAACAAAAGTCCACAGGATCTGAATCCTCATCTGATCTGTTATTTACAATGCTTAATGTTGTATTACTGTGGGATAAAAAACATTTGTATCCAGTTACTGTCCCTATAGTTGGCAGAGATAGATGTCAGACATCATGATCATTATAGAAATTCAAGTCAATTGAGCAGTGAAAACATGATGCTTATATTTCAGCCCATGGCGCGTAACAAACTACAAGTACAACTAAGTATCACTGCTAATGTTTATTTTATTTACCCTTGTGAAAGATAAGTCGTTGATTTTTTTTAAGTGAGAGAGAAATTTGAAACAAAACAAAGTATTTTATATAATCATCTATTAGAGAATCATTTTTTCCCTGTGATTTATAGTTGTCAATCTTGAGAAGTTAATCCAGTAATCTGTAATGCTTAACAAAAGTTTTATCATTATCAGTACATAAGTGCTTAAACAAAAAAGGAAAAAGAAAAAAGAAAACTGTAATCACCCAGTAGGGAGTCAGGTCACCCTGTGATTGATGTGTGTTGAACTGGAGAAATTAATCCAGCACAGCAAACACATTAAAGATGAATGAGGGAAGATCAAGCTGGTAGCACCAAGTGGCAGGAGGAGATGGATCTTAGCATCACTCATCCTGACTCACTGGAGGTCTAATGGGGTCAATATAATGCTCGTTCATCAAATTCTGAGGAAAATACTACATTTGTATGAAGCACCTCTGCTGAGACAGTGAAAGCAGATACAGGTGTGGTCTGCAGTTAAATAGAAGCATCAGAAAAACAGTGAAATTCAATAATTGTTCAGCAACATCTGGATGCATCTTAGCCTCCTATTAGTCATGTTCTTGTTACAATAATTGCCCTGTATGGGAAATCCACTGAGGCATTGATATAAGATGCTCTATTTAATACAGACTTGCAATTAGAGTTGCATTACTGTATGTAATATGTTAATAAACACATCCATCTTATCAAATGATGCTGCAGCAGAGTTAAGTGTCTCATCCCTTTAATGTATCATTGTTGCTTCAATGTTTCACCTTACTGAATATTTAAGTTCTTATAAAAATAAAATAAAAACAATATATCATCTGCACTGTTGACCCTTGTGCATCTTTAAATTGTGCCATCAAAGGTAAATCTCAATATTTTACTTTTGCTTTGGCTCTCTTTAGAACAATTAGAGCTTCTTATCTGCTTTTTCAATTCCTGTGTCAACAATTGATGAAACATGCATTGGTTGAATACATCAAAGAGTCACTGACTGGTACAGCAAGAGAAGGAGGGGGAAAAAAACAGTAAGAAACTATATATAAATCAAAGAGAGAACACCTTAATTTAGTGATATTCTATAAATAAATATAGGCTTCCATATGGCCTACTTAGAGTTTGAAGATGAATTGGGTTCGAGCAGCAACAAAGTGCTGGAAAGTAAATGGAACAAAAAAAGACTGGAGACAGGCCACATTTGTTCTATTCTGTGCTTCACTCAGTAAAACATCCTCACTGTTTACTTCCCCTTTACAACAACATAAATGTCAAGGCAGAGTCTCAGCTGTGACAGTGTTCAAACATACAATATGTAGGATTTTCCATACTACGATGACAGGGCTGTGCACCACAATAAATCACTTGCCATGTAATGAATTGTTGCTGATGGATAAAAAGATAATGCCTGCCCTTATCCTTCAAAGTTGTTGATGCACAATACAACTAAAGGATAGTCACCTAGAAAAGGTCAGCCTTGTTAGTTCTCCTTCACTACGTCCTCAGGTCCGGAACAATTAATACAGGCACGGGGAGGGGACAGGTGGGTGGCGGATGGACAAGGCGATAAACTCAAGGACGTCCATTAGGATGTCCAAATGTTTCTATAGTGTGTGTGGCGATGGTGGTAAAATGGACGTGATGATGCAGATGAATGGCTTAATCAATAACTGGCTCAACAGCATCTGGCAATATATTCCTGACAGTGTCAAAATAGTCCACAATCAATTGGCAGTTTATATATCAAACAAATAAATCACTCGAGTGTAACTGTCGATTTCCCAGCTGGGTTGACTGGCTGTACATTCATCCAGCAGGGTAAATTAAAAGGGTGTTGAACTGTGATCTACTGATAATTATACACTTTCTTTTCAATAGTTAATTATAATTGCAAGAGCCTGTCTCGTCAATGAATCAATTGACAAGAGAGGCGCTTCCTCTCTTCCTCACAGCACAGAAATAAAGGCTGACCAATCAGTGTTCCTGTGAGAGCTCTGTGAGTTTATGAAAAAAAAAGGTGTCTTTAAATCAAAGGCCCAAATCTTGCTTGATGTGGTTGCTTCTTCATGATTCTTCTTCTAAACTTTGATTGGTGCATGAACCTATGTAACATCACCTTTTTCCAACTCTAACCCGGGAAGAAAAGCACAGACAAAAACATAAATACAAAAATATCTAATGTGAAATAACTAAAACTGTGCTGACTTTGAAAAAAAATCTTGTGTTCATGAAAGATTCCATTGCTCGTGGAAACATCAACAACAGCAGGGGACAAAACAGGTGTAGTTGACAAGGCAATCTTTTCTCAGCTGCTATTATGGTCAAAAATTAGCCCTCAAACTTAACTCTAAGCCAACATTGAAGAGAAGTCATGGGTCCTCAGCAAATGGAAATTTTAACTATTGATCATCTGCTGATGAAAAAATATGATTACATAAAAGTCATAATTATCACATAAAGACAGAAGAATTAAGTCATTTTTAATAGCATGATGTCTGAATTCCATTTTAAGAATGTTTATTTAATGTATATAATTAGTTGATAATAAGCAACCACTGGAATAAAAATCTGTTGACAGACATAAAAATGCAACATAACTAAATATGTCTAAAAATGAATATTAATATGTATGTAGCCTAATTTACTTTTCTGAGAATGTTTTTTATGTAACTTTCATCAGTCTGACCCTTAATTAGACTTAAAATGATGAGGATTTACTGAAGAGTTTCACATATAAAAAGTAGCAAAACACTTGATTTTAGATTAGTTTAACCTCCAACACATCCCGGATTGCGACATTGATGTATTAAGACTATAAAGCTGGATGGGCTGTTAAATCCTTGCTGCACTCTGTGTCAGGTCTGTGACAGAGACCACATATACAGACGGGATAAAAAGGAGGAATAGGAGGGAGGGGCAGGCAGGGGTCCAGATGTGGAGGTCTGCCCATCTCAAAGAGGGCTGGAGCACAGCAGATGGCACTCTCTGCTATCACTGGCATGGTTGAGATTAGTTGATGTGAGAGGGGGCACAGGACTGATGGGGCATTGAGGGAAGTCCACATCTGTTTAGATTATCCAAGCAGGGAGGAAGCCGGGAGGACCGCAGGGGAGACCATGCATCTCTCGCAGGAGCGGGCCGACTAATATAACAAAACATCTGATCGTGGACACACGAAAACAAATCAGCTAAAATTTAAAAAACCAAGGGTTAGAGGTTGTGAGATGCCATGTTTTGTAATCTCGCGCTACAGCCTTCAGGATTCAGACTTGTTAAAAAAAATATGGGAGTCCTGTGAATAAAGGCTGAAAACAAAGCCAAAGATAACAAAACCTTCATGACTCATGCTGACTCATTTGCTCAAAATAAAGGAAAGATGCTATGTTATAAGGAGTTCGGTCTAGACCTGCTCCATTTGAAAAGTGTCCCGAGATAACTTCTCTTATGAATTGGCGCTATACAAATAAAATTGAATGGAACTGAATTCAGTGTCAAATGTTAACTTCAGGTTTGTGGCCTTTTCCCTCCAATACTTTTATTTAAGGAATTATTTCAGCTTGGGGCAACTGTTCAGCTAATTGTGACCAGTTAGAATGAGACTCAGCGATCACTGCCAGTTATCCTAAAGCGGAGCG